ATCTAAAGCTCTGATGTCATCAGTCTGTTCATTTAAAGTAAAACCCACTGCAGCGCTCGACCTCCCCAAGATGGCGGCCCTAACTGAACCTCACACCCAGTCGGTGTGAGGTTCTACCGGACGGATCCACTGACCCGGGTTCTGTTTGGTTCCGCCTGCAGGTCGGCGAGCTGTGCGAAGGCGTCATCAGGGTCCACGCTCCCCTGCACGCCAAGGTTTCCATGGCGATACAGCTAGACGAACAAACCACGGCCAAAGACGTGACGAGCCGCTTCGAGTCCCGGAGCAGGTGAGGAAGGCGTCCATCAGGTGAGGACGCCTCCGTCCCTGCCGACCTCACTTCCTGTCTCTCTGTCCGCAGCCCCGCCCAGCATCTCTACGAGGTCGGAGGGAACATCTGTAAGTATGATGACATCACACGGCCGTGGGCCTGTGGAGCAGCTGAGAACCTGTCCTCCGTCTGCCTGACAGATGAGCGCCGCCTGCAGCCGGACTGCTGCCTGCTGGACGTGTACCGAGAAAACCCGGGCTGCGATTGGCTGATCAAACCCTGACCACTGACTGAACTCACCTGTACCTGCTGAGTGTCCAATAAAAGCCTGAACACGGCGCCGTGTCTCCGCCTGCTGGTCACTGTCGGTTCCTGCAGGGTAGAGCCAGTGAAGCCTGGCAGACAGAGCTGAGGGCAGCAGGAAGCATCACACCCAGTTAGGAAAACATTAAAACCTTTATTTCATCACGTCTCCTTTCTGATGACATCATCACCCGCCGCTCTGCTCATGAAACTGAGCCCAGCGGAAATCCGTCTAAATACGGGCGTTCCTGTCCGGTTCAGACCGAAGCTACAGGGATCCTCGGGTCACCCGGAGGTCAGGCGGGACGCCGCCGTGACGTCTGACGCGCGCAACCTCACTGTCATTTGGTATAAATACACTTCAACCAGAAGTTCCTCAGCCGCCGTTCTCCGGGCGTCGGGATCAGCCGCCGTTCTCCTGATGTTAGGAGGGGCCGGCGTTCTCCCGACGTAAGGAGCGGCCGGCGTTCTCC